GATTTTCGCGGTGAATGACTTGTCCAGTAGTATATTTGAGGCTTTATGTCACAATGGATGACTGTTTGCAGCATCTTCATGCAAGTATGTGAGGCCCTTTGCAATCTCTGATGCAATCTGCAGCCTTTGTTTCCAACTAGGCCTTATGACTCCGAAAAGGAAGCTCGACAATGAACCGTTTTCCATGAACTCGTACACCAGAATTCTATGCTGAGCTTCATCACAATATCCAATCAGTCTCACCAAGTTCTTGTGGTGAGTTGGCCGATGAACTTCACTTCGGTTTTGAATTCCCTTTCACCATCTTGAGCAAACTTGTCTAGTTTCTTGACTGCAACACTCTCCATAACCTGATGGCAATTCCCTTTATAAACCGTTCCGAAAGCACCCCTTCCTAGTTCTTCTTTGAATCCATTCGTGGCATATTCGAGATCTTTGTAGGTGAGAAACTGCAGATTAGTCTCTATGTCTCTTCTACTACGAACACCGTTTAAGTCTTGAAGTTTTCTCGGAACAAGAAGAAGAAGATCAGAGCAATTGAAGCTAAAGAAAGAAGTTGAATACTGCAGAGGTGCCCAAGAGAACCACTAGGATCAAAATGATTTGATTTCGGTTTTCATCGCTACGACTCGGCCCGGCAGGATTTTCCCTCAAGGCATCTGACTTGAGTACCTTAAATAGAGCTGTTTCTATCAAGAGCATCCCTGTCAAACCACCCATTTGAGAGTGGCAACTCTTTTTCCAACAAGTTCCACTGCCATCTTTACTTAAAGTTGGATCCTGCAAAATGGCAACCGCGCAAGGCAAGATTGCTTACATTCCAACTCAGTTGCAGGTTTCAATACTCCATAGTCACTCAAAGTAAAATCAGCAAATGACATTGGCTTGAATTCGAACCGATCTTCCCCTATGGTGGATCCATCAGGGTTGCAATCTCCAGGGTAGCTTGCATAATTCTGTTTGCAGCCTCCATATTGATTGTTTTCATCGAAGAAGGAAAATCCAGGGGGACATGTACAATTAGGCCTCCCATTGATAGGTTCACAAATGCTGTTATAACCACAAGGACCGGTTCCGAATGTAGCCTTACCGGATGTAACGGCTGAGTCGACAAAGCGACAAACATATGTTCCTTGGCCTAAACCACAACACAGTCCAGCTTTCACCTCCACCGGGGTTCCTTGGATAAGAATAGAGAGTGAAAACTCCATAAAAGTCAAGAGTCGCCCTGTAGTACAAGTCCGGTTTCGGAACAGCGTTTATAGGTGCAACCTCAACTAGACTTCCATCGGGTTGGGGATTTGGATATCCCTGACTGGTTGAAAACAAACCGAGAACCGTTCCCAAACTGAAAGTAACTTTCGTATGCTTTCCGGTGAACATATCTATTTGATTAAGAACGAAATCCATTACTGAAACGAAGTTGATATTTCCCCTACCGTAACTTGTTTCCGCTAAAGTCGATAAAAGATACCCATCGACACCAAGTTCTTGTCCCGGTAAGATGGTACCAGTTGGATTTTCGAAGCTTTCCCATAAGTTGGTCGAGTTTCTACTTACAATCACAAAGTTCCCGTTGTCGAGCATGGCTGCATACGACACTCTAGAGTCACCGGTAAAGCTTCGAGACCTCCACAACTCTTTGCCTGCAGGGTCCGTAAGCACAAGATGACCGCTCGCAACAAGCTCAACCTTCGATTCTCGATCGGTTTCGGGGTGATCTCGATTAGCAAACCAAACTATGATTCTTTGTAGTATCTTAGCATACCAGATTGCAAGCAGGAACTTATTTTTTTCACCAGAATGGGAAGAAACCCAAAGGCAAAATCACCTGATGGTGATTGCCAAGCCATGGCTTTGTCATTTGCTGATAGAGAATCACCTACACTTACATTTCCTTGAGCCCCAACTGTTGGAAGATTCCAAAGGATGCAAGTAATAAGAACAAATTGAGTATTAAAAGATGCTGAGATCATTGAATCTGTACCACAAGGTGTTCACCAAAATGGAAAAAACAATGAAGTTTGAGATTAGAGAGTGATTAAAATGGCCTGAAGATGAAGTTATAGAGGCTGCTGCTGCTTTATAATGTTGAGAATTTTGATACGGCACTTTGTCTGGATTGTTGCATTATTGTCAAATGTGGGTTACAGATGTTTGATGAGTAGAGGAAATGGTTGAAAATCTGGTCTGTGAGTTGGACCCACTTAATAAATTATAAGTGTTATCTATTTCTAAGAAAATGTCAAAGTCATTATGTCTTCTGTATTTCTTAAAGTAAGTAACTTTGAAAATTAAAAATAACCCGGTTATTGGTCGATCTAGTGAAATTAGATATTAGATATTTAATTCAGAGTTTTAATCTTACATTATAATTGAGATAAATTCGATTGGGAAGATCTCTCTGTAAGATAAATTTGTAATATTTGATTCAGATTAATCAATCAATGGATCAAACACAGATTATACAAAATTACCTTACAATGACATTTTCAACTTTGAATTGGAGCTTCCTTTGAAATCTTCAAATGAGTTATTTGAAACGAATTCTATAATGGTTGACTATTCTTGATTGCAAGAGAAAATGTTGCAAGTAAGTACTTGTCAGGTCCTTCTATTATTGGGACTGGATCAAAACAGTCCTATTGTTAAATGGATTAATTTAAACCAATCCTATGATAGGACTAATTTGATCCGTTTTATAATAGAGGGACCAGACAAGTACTTTATTTTTTCCATAAGATATCCGAATAGGTGTCTCTTATTTTCAAAGCATTTGCCATATCAGAATTCCTAAGCTCAAAAAAACACCAGCAGCCAACAAATTCGGCCTTTTAATTACTCTCTATCTCAAAGCTCTTTATTTTTCATTACACATGAAAATATACAAATAAGATCACAATACATGCCAAGTCTATATAAAATACTTGATTGAACTAGAACCAGAGATTCCATCAATTCGATCCGATCTTAATGACATCAAACTAGGTCATCGTTGCAGACACTAACATGGACATCGAACTGAGACCGGGTAGGAAAGGGCATGGTGGACTAGGAACTTGGACAGCACCTTCAGCATCATGGTTACAATCCTCATGGAAGGCCTTAACATTGGCTCTTCTTGAACACACCAAATCGCCACTTTCAACAACATCTCCAATTTCCCAGCATCATTTGTAGCTTCTTCATCATTTTCGACCAGTTTCCCAATCATCCCTTCACTGTAACATTGAAAGGCCCATTCTGTTAGTATGCTGCTTCCTCCATTTACTTCAACGCATCTTCTGCAACATATGATCTCCAACAAACATCACCCCGAAGCTGTAAACATCAACCTTAACTGAGACCGGTGTGTTTCTGAACCATTCCGGTGCTACATAGCCTTTTGTCCCTCGTATGCCGGTCTGTGTTCGAGTTTGTTGTCCATCAGAAGCTTTGCCAACCCGAAATCAGATATTTCGCAGTGAATGACTCGTCCAGTAGTATGTTTTGAGGCTTTATGTCACAATGGATGATCTGTTTGCTGCATTCTTCATGCAGTATGTGAGGCCCTTTGCAATCCCTGATGCAATCTGCAGCCTTGTTGCCAACTAGGCCTTAGGACTCCGAAAAGGAAGCTCGACAACGAACAGTTTTCCATGAACTCATACACCAGAAGTCTATTCTCAGCTTCATCACAATATCCAATCAGTCTCACCAAGTTCTTGTGGTGAGTTTGGCCGATGACTTTCACTTCGGTTTTGAATTCCCTTTCGCCATCTTGAGCAAACTTTTCTAGCTCTTGATTGCAACATGATCTCCGTAGCTCGATGGCAATTCTCCTTATAAACAGTGCCGAAAGCACCTCTTCCTAGTCTTCTTTGAATCTTTTCGTGGCATGTTCGAGATCTTTGTATGTGAAGACCTCAGAGTTAGTCTCAAAATCTCTTCTGCTAGGAACACCGTTTAAGTCTGAAGTCTTCTTCGGAAACAAAGAGAAGATCAAAGCAATTGCAGCTAAAGAAAAGAAGTTGAAAATGCAGAGGTGCCTAAGAACCCCGAGGGTTAAATGATTTGATTTCGATTTCATTGCTTGATTTGGTGTTTCCGGGTTCTTCCTCGAGCATCGGCTTAAGTACCTTAACTAGAACTGTACTATCAAGACTACCTCTGTTCCTCACCCCATTAAAAAGTGGTAATTGCTTTTTAACAAGTTGCATTGCCATCTATTCTTGAAGTTGGATAAATAGCAACTGCACAAGAACAATCACGAAGGCAAGATTGTTCGCATTCCAACTCAGTTGAAGGAAGAATATTCCATAGTCACTCAATGGAAAATTAGCGAATGAAATCGACTTGAACTCGAACCGATCTTCGTCAATGGTGGATCCATCAGGGCTGCAATCTTCAGGATTGTTGGATAATCTTGTTTGCAGCCTCCATATTGATTCTTCTCATCCAAGAAAGAAAATCCAGGGGGACATGAACAATTAGGCCTCCAATCGATCGGTTCGCAAATGCTGTTTAACCGCAAGGGCCGAATCCAAATCTATTCTGTCGTTTAAGTGCCAAGTCGAGAATGTAGCACATATGTCCGTTGGCCAAGCCTTGAAAACGGACCAGCTTTCACCACGATAAGAATAGAGAGTGAAAACTCCATAAAAGTCAAGTGTTGCCCTGTAGTAGACTCCGGGGTTTGTGTTTGTGCAAGGTCGACTGAAGTACTGTTTGAATTAGCGATATGGATACTCCCGATCGTTGAAGACAAGACGAGAACCGGTACCAAGATTACTGTAACCTTCGTATGGTTTTCTGGTTAACATATCTAGATTAAGCACAAGAGATCCATTATCGAAACGAAGTTGATATTTCCCCTTACCATAAATTTGTTTCAGCCGAAATCGATTGAAGACTGCCATCAACATCCAGTTCTGAGTCGATGGTATGTATTAGTGGATCTTTGAAGCTTTCCCATATGTGGTCGAGTTTTGCTTACGATCACAAAGTTCCCAGTGTTAAGCACAAGAGATCCATTATCGAAACGAAGTTGATATTTCCCCTTACCATAATTTGTTTCAGCCGAAATCGATTGAAGACTGCCATCAACATCCAGTTCTTGAGTCGGTAAGATGGTATTAGTTGGATCTTTGAAGCTTTCCCATGTTGGTCGAGTTTTTGCTTACGATCACAAAGTTCCCAGTGTCGAGCATGGCTGCATGTGACACTTGAGAACCATCGGTAACTCTTCGAGACCTCCACAAATCGTGGGCCTTGGGGTCTCTAAGAACAAGATAACCGCTCTCGATGAGCTCCACCGTTGATCCTCGATCGGTTTCCGGGTTATCTTTATTAGCATACCAGACTATAGTTCTTTCTGGTATCCGAGCATATCCAATTGCAAGAAGAAACTTGTCTTTTTTACCAGGAATCGGATGAAACCCGAAGGCGAATTCACTGTTAATCGATCGCCAAGTGAGGTTTCTATCATCTGCATAAAGAGACTGGCCTACGGTGACATTTCCTTGAGCCTCGACTGGTGCAAGAATCCAAAGGATGGTTGTAAGAACAAGCAGGGAAAGGTAACTATGAGAAAGTGCAGAGATCATTGTATTTTTTTCCTATATGTGTTCGACAAAATCGAAGAAAGCTATGAACCTTGAGATCATTGAACCAACCCCAGTGATATTAAAAGGGCCTGAAGCTACTGGAAATAACTTGCTGGAAAAGTCAAGTGATGAAACTTCAACATGCTTTGAATTGTCTGAATTCTTGGACTACTGTCGCTTTTAATGATGTTTTGATGATTACAACCTACGTTTACATTTTTAACTTTGAATTGTTGCATTCTTTGAACAGTTCAGAAGAAAATAAGCAGCAGAGTTTTCGATGAAAGTTCAGAAGAAATTTATTTGGCTAACAATTCAGAAGAACAGAAATTTTGAGTCGGCACGTCATTACATGTCTATTAGACATATGTTTTAAGAAGAGAATAAGAACTTTGTGACTGTCCAATTTCATGTCCAGCGTCCAATCAGTGGGATAAACGGAGTAGATAATTATGACGATGATTCGTGATGAGGATATCACGAAATTGAATGAAGGAGAATGACAATTCTCAGAGAGGTGTAAGTCATAAGTTTAAAATCATAAAGGATAATGAAAATTCGTAGGTAAGTATGCATGGTTTGATTTTGAATAAAAATGAAATGAAAACGTGTAGTTTTCATGTGTTGTTGAATAAAGATGGATTGATGGCTGAACAAGAGTGTAGGTGTAGGTCAGTCAATCCTAAACAACTAAGAAATGGCCCTCTCTAATGGCACTTTTATCCTGCTTCCTTCTTTTCTCTCTAAGAAATCTATTTTTTTTCTCAAAACTTTTAAGTTTTACAAAATAGTCCCTGCATGATAAAATGATTTTGAAATTGATTATTTCGGATCTTAAGTTTATATCAGTGCATTACATCTTTACAACTTTCTCTTGTAAGTATCTAACCCTAAATGTAAAGCTTATTTTGCAATAGACAGTGGAAAGCAAACGCTATACGAACATGTTATTGATTCTGTTTCTTTATTCTTATGGTTTTTGTCATTCGAATATTTTAAGGAAAATGAAAAATTACGATACCGGTCCACTAAGTTTATATCGTTTGTAGTTGGCTCTTGAAATCCGTTTGTTGAACTGACCTGACAAGTGGAAAGATGAGAATTGAATGTAAATACAAGGAAAGAAAAGCTCATAATTAGTCAACAAATGTGAAAATAATATCTCAGTTTCTATGTTTAGCAAATGTGATTTTTAAGTTATTTTTGGCAATCTGATTCAATGGAGTTCAGACAAAGATGAAGAGAAACAAAACATCATGAGAAATTGTTCCTTGTGCTTTCCCGAGGGACCAAAGAGAATTTGGTTGCCTCCGGAAGATTTCAGTTCGATAATTAAGGATGTCGTCCTTCACAAGGAAGACGAAGACGAAGATGGGCTGTTTTTCGTGTTGCATGTCGGAGGAGGCACTAACAAGGAGGGCATTGCAGAAAGGCATCATGGAACATCATGACACAAGTCTTGGCTTCATTTGCCAATATTTCCTTTATCCCCGGTAAGGAGTTTTTGATCGAAATAGCAGTCGCGTCATGTTTATCGTGATTTCAGATGCAACGGATGTTATGCATGCAGCATGCCGTTACATGTTTTGACAATATGCATCATTGTCATTGATCATTCCTGATGTCCTTGTTCACCTTGTTTAGGCCTCGTATTGGATCAAAATATGTGTCGAATATAATTATTGAACCGGAATGAGGTAAGAAGATTTTTCTTTCTTTGTTGGCAGATAACAGCAGAAAGAGATGCACCAGTCGAGAAATAGAAAAAGATTGTAAACACAATGTAGGTGCCAAGGTTTTCAAATACTGCAAGATGTGCGCCGCCACGAACAACTTCGACCCTCACAATCAAATCGGCGAAGGCGGCTTCGGAAGAGTCTACAAAGGACTTATTGAAAACTCAAACAGAGTATATTATCAAGTCTTATCTCTCCATCTATGTTATTCCGATTTTACATATTTAGAAGTTCGAATTTTTCGTGCTATTGTTCTAATATTTGTGTAACATGTGAGTATCGGATACGAGTAGAGTTCTGATTTACCAGATACAATGTGTTCAGGTGGTTGCTGTGAAGCAGCTTGATAGGAATGGATATCAAGGGAACAAAGAATTCCTTGTTGAAGTTTTGATTTTGATTTTGCTTAAACATCCTAACCTCGTTGAGGTGGTGGGGTACTGCATTGACGAGGATCAAAGGGTTCTGGTCTATGAGTACATGGCTAATGGCTGCTTGGAGGATCATCTTATAGGTATGTTCTGATTTTCGATGTAGAAAATCGAATCCTCATAAGATACTATATGAACTGATTGCGATGTTGTAAACGTGACGATGACATTCAGGTTTACCGCCGGATAAGACGCCTTTGGATTGGAAAACCATGATGAGAATTGCAGTAGGTGCGGCTAAAGGCCTTGAATACTTGCATGAAGTAGCTAATCCTCAAGTCATATACCGAGACTTCAAGACATCAAACATATTACTGGACGAGGATTTCAATCCGAAGCTCTCGGATTTCGGACTTGTGAAAGTCGGTCCGACCGGAGAAGATCCGCATGTATTTTCCAGGGTTATCGGAACCCATGGTTACTGTGCACCCGAGTACATACAAACCGGTCAATTGTCGACGAAATCCGATGTTTACAGCTTCGGAGTTGTGCTTTTGGAGGTGATCACAGGAAGAAGAGCGGTAGACAATTCAAGACCATCACATGAAAGAAATCTTGTCACTTGGGTAAATACCGAACGTTTTTCGTACTCGTATCACGAGTTTCGAGTCAATAACACTGATCATATTCCTTTTTTCACAGGCGAAACCCTTATTGGATCACAGAAGGAAGTTTGTGTTATTGGCTGATCCATTGCTGGATGGGGATTTCCCCATCAAGAGTCTCCACCAGGCACTTACGGTTGCAGCAATGTGTCTGCAGGAAGATCCGTCGCTTCGGCCGTTGATGAGTTATGCCGTCTGCCTCGAGTGCTTGATTATGAGCGACGGTCCGGAAGAAGGGAAGAATTCGGAGCATTCACATCATGAAGATGATACATTGTCATATGGTGGACGTCTTTCTATATGAAAGGATTACATGACAAGATGCAATGAATTCAGTGAATGAGAACTAGATTTGTGGTCACATTGCATGGCCTACAACTACAATGTAAGAAACGGACAGCTAATTAACAACTGCGTCCATCTCAATAAAAATTCATCTATTTTTTTTCTCATTTCTAGTTATCGCCCTATTCAACAAATAATCTTTTGAGTGTATTATTTGAATATTTTTTTCAACAAATTATTTGAATATTTTTTTCAACAATGTTATATCCACTATGCATGCTTGAATTTGTATTCTGGAACTTACATCTTCTTCGTTTCTTGTGAAGAAAATCATCATCCTGCCTTGCTAATCGAATTTACTGCTTTCAAAAGAATCAAAATTTCAACTGGGCCTGGGCTTGAGTCGCTTGTAGATCGTAAGCTTACTGTGATAACCCCTTTGTTTCTTGAATGTTTTAAGCATAGCATCAAAGGGCTAACAAACAATTGGGTTGAATACACTCCTTTTCCTTTCCTGATAGTCTTGGATCTTGATTGACGTTTTCGTTGTTTACCCTCTCCCTCTAGATCGTTTCCTTTATATGCAGAGACTATCTCGGTCATTACCAATGATGGACGTAACATAGTGGTACCTTTAAGGAAATGCTGCTATATATGTTTTTAATCTTTTCAAATAAGCTTAATTCTAAATCGTTTTATTTTCAATGTTGTCCGAACCTGAACCATTACTCTACAGGGAGTTTTAAAAGGCTTTGATCAGGCTACAAATATAATTCTCGATGAATCTCATGAACGCGTATACTCCACCAAGGTTCGTTTCATATTCAACTGCTTTATTTATTTTTATTTGTTTAGGCATCCAGTTCATTGCAGAAGTAAAGGGTTTACTTTTACCATCATCTTTTTTGTCAAGTATTAATCTATTTACTTATAAACAACTCCATTATCTTTATTCGCTCCTTCTCTTTCACTTCATCCCGACTATGTTTCTCAGAATGAAGAGTGAGTCTCGGAAAGGGTGTGTTCAAGACATATATGCTAATTTTTTTAAAGGTTTTCACATAGATTTCAAGGATCATACCCTCATACATTTCTGAATATGTACTGGATGTAAGTCTGGCATGAGTCATTATTATTAGAGAAAATCACCTCAGTGACCAAAAATACCTTATAATATACGATTTTAACCAACTTTTTTTGGATTTGCCGAAATAACCAACAAAATCGCAATGCGAAATAAAATCGCAACGCGATCTCCAAATCGCAAATCCCATAATCGCAAGCGATTATGAAGAATCGCAATGCGATAGTACAAATTCGCATTGCGATTTTCCATAATCGCAACGCGAATATGAAAATCGCAATGCGAATAAATCGCAACGAGAATACGTAAATCGCAACGCGTATCTGTAAATCGCAACGAGAATACGTAAATCGCAATGCAAATCCGTAAATCGCAATGCAAATACGTAAATCGCAATGCGAATACGTAAATCGCAATGCGAATCTGTAAATCGCAACGAGATTCTGACTATCGCAATACTGAATTTCAAATTCGCAATTCGATTTCTGAATTCGCAACAGGTTTTAATTTCGCAACACAAATGTTTTGGGTATATAACTACGCAGCAGCAACAACTCATAACCTAAATCCCTAAATCGCAACTCATTCCATCTCCATCTATCACTCTCTTCGACGACATCCGTTCCTATATCCAACGACATCCTTTCCCATCCGACAACAGGTTTTAGTTTCACAGCTCGTTTGTTTAGTAAATTAATTTACAATAATGAAATCATCTAATGTTGACATGTTTGGATAGATTTGTGTTTTGGAGGGTCATGGGAGAATGTTCATGGTGTTTTACAATATATGCCTTTACCATAATCTTCAACTAAAACTGTCATTAAAAAAGTTAACTTATGAAACTCTAATGTTACGTGTTGCAAATAAATTGAATTTAGAGCCCCTAAGTGGATTTAGGCTATCTTATCAGAGAAATGGTAAAGTTTATTTGTTAACCGACAATGAAGATGTTGAACGATTCATTGCTTACATTAGTGTTTCAAGTGATGATGTTACATTGCATATTGTTGAACCTAGAAGTAGTGAAGTTGGGTCAGTAGCGGGTAATAATCAACTAAGTTTTTCAACCCCAGTTTATGGTGCTCAAAATTTAATTGTTCCACCAATTTCATCACCAAGCAAATATGTTTCACCCATTTCCAATACCAAACACAATCTCAAAACCCACAACCTTTCCCTAATCCAAATCCCAATCAACTTTCAGCACCAAATTTCGGTTTTCGTATTGACCAGTTAGACGATGATGAGCCAACAGAAAAAATTGTGACTACTAGTCAGTATTCGAAATTTGATCTTGGTCAATACCCGGACTTTGATCTTGGTCAATACTCGGATTTTGATGATTTTTCAGAAGAAACAGACCCTGCGTGTAATGATTTTGATATTGGTCAATACTCGAATTTTGATGATGAAACAGCTGTTGCCGAGGAAGATGTTGTTGATGATAATGAGGAGGAAGTTACGACTGTAAATGAACATGTTGAACATCCATTCTTATTCATAACTTGTTTATATATGATAATATTTGTGTTAACTTACATTATTTATTGTCGCATATGGTATTAAGTCTTCCCAATCCAACAGACGTTTCCTCTTCCAGGAAACCCTAGGAATATCATTTGAAGTTTTAATGCATATGTCTGCTGGGGAAAGCCTCGAATATCCAAATCTACAAACAATATAATAACAAACATTAGTAATTGTTAAATAATTAATTATAATTTTGAAAACATTATATAGAAATTCTTACCTTAAAGGCCCAAACAAAGCCTGACAAAGTGTATTTCGACCCATCGTCACGCAAACTTTTGCGGTCATCAAAGGCAGACGACAACTTAGTCCAGGTATCTTTCCATATATACGAACCCCACGAAAACAAATTCCATGCATTTAGGTCCTCTACCAATAATATTAGCTCATGAGGAATAGGTTGTCTGGCCTCTCTGCCTAAAAAGCCGGCATACAAAAGTTTTAGAAGGCATACTCGGACAACATCGATGTCATTCATCATAGTAAAACCATCTTTCTTATTAAACAATTTCTTCAGGTCTTCGATGTGTAAGTTCGGCTTCTCTATTGACTCATCAGGAAAAACTCGAGATAACCATGATGGGCAGGTGATATGACGAGTGTACCGGCCTACATCATCGTGTCCGAATCGTAGACCAGTGATTAAGCAGAACTCCTTCCGCCCAAAACAAGTATACGCCGGTGGAAAATGAAACCATATCTCTTCCTCACCACGTTGTATACTGTCAGGTAGATCGCTAGTCATGGTCTGAAGTCATAAATGGGTCAAATTAGCATCTCCACCCGGATGTTGTACTCTCAGCCATTGCCCGAAGCAGGTTTCCTCAAACAATTTTCTTTGTGCAGGTGAAAGCTTCGAAGCAATTGTAGTGGCTAGGCTAAATTTATTCCTTAATGTCAATGAAGCCGAAAAAAATTTCTACAAAAACAATAAACATACCAAGTTAGATATACCAAAAACTACACTCTGAAGATATACCAAAAACAATAAACATAAAGAGTAGTAGTTTATTCTTGAAACTAAAATTTGCAACACTGTTTTGTCTTTTGGTTGAAATGAAAATCGCAACGAGAGAATGAAAATCGCAACGCGGAAATGACTATCACAACGCGAAATGAAAATCGCAACGCGAAATTAAAATCGCAATGAGAGAATCGCAACGCGAAATGAAAATCGCAATGCGATTTTGGTTTCGTGTTGCGATTCTCTCGTTGCAATTTTCATTTCGCGTTGCGATTCTCTCGTTGCGATAGTCATTTTCGTGTTGCGATTTTCATTTTCATGTTGCATTTTAAGTTTAGAAACTATTCTTCTTCTGCAAATTGAAACTTTAATGGATTGCATTACTTCAACCAAAAGACAAAACAAAGACAAATACTAACTTCACAGGGTTAAAGACTAAACAATTTAGCAGTATTGGCAGCAATCGAATGAATTTAATAAGAAATCTAAGTGAAATGGTTAATCTATTATTGAAATTACCAGTAAACTTATCATCAATTTCAATATGAAAAACCTAAAATAATGCAAAAATTTCAAAATAAAAATAATTAAAAAAACTAACACTCGGAGGTTGATTTTCCATTTCTGAATGATTGTGAGGGATTTCTGACCGTGAATAGTTGTGAGGGATTTCGTCGGAGATGGGGACAGAAATCTTCGGAGATGGGGACGGATTTCGCCGTAGAGAGTGAGAGATGGAGATGAGACTGAGTTGTGATTTTTTTTAGGTTTTAGGTTATGAGTTGCGATTACGGGATATACTGTGGACGGTTCAGTGTTCCGATAATTAATATTCGTGATTGGAATTTGAAAATAAAATACGCGTAGCGATTATAATGGCGCTTTAAAAATTGCGTTGCGATTTACGGATATGCGTTGCGATTTTACGTATTTGCATTTCGATTTACGGATACGCATTGCAATTTACGTATTCTCGTTGCGATTTACAGATACGCGTTACGATTTACGTATTCTCGTTGCGATTTACGGATACGCGTTGCGATTTTACGTATTATCGTTGCGATTTACGGATACGCGTTGCGATTTACGGATACTCGTTGTGATAGTCAGAATCGCGTTGCGATTTATATGTTCGCGTTGCGATTTTCATATTCGCGTTGCGATTATGGAAAATCGCAATGCGAATTTGTACTATCGCATTGCGATTCTTCATAATCGCGTTGCGATTATGGGAACTGATTTGCGATTCTGGAGATCGCGTTACGATTTTTATTTCGCATTGCGATTTAGTTAGTCATTTTGGTAAATCCAAAAAAAGTTGGTTAAAATCGTATATTATAAGGCATTTTTAGTCACTGAGGCGATTTTCTCTTATTATTATTATTATTATTATTAATTCCGAGTTGAAATTTGCAGGAAGGTGTTCAGCAACTTGTGTTGTGTTTGTACATAATAAGAGGCGACAACATGTATGCTACCATTCAGCATTCTTTTCTATTCATTATTTCTGCATCTGCATTTGTTATAGCTCGGCTTCCATATTGTATATTACACAGATTCGGAGACGAATATTAAAGTGTGTCCGACATGCGTATATGCTAATTTTTTTTTGGGGGGGGGGTTCATATATATGGAGGATAATATCCTTGTATATACATGTTGGAATCTGTCATGTAGTGTTGTTGGTGAACTGGATGAAGAGCTTGATTCCGCGCTCGACTTGTCGAACCTGAGAGCACATCCTTTGAAGCCCGTTATCCATTGATCGGATTAATGAAGTTGTATTGGTTTTTAAGGACAGCATGTCGGATTAAACACCCAAGAAAAACATGTCAAATAACTGAAATATGATGAATGAAAACCAATGTGTATTCTGTTTTCGTGACGGCATGATTGTTCGAGTCGAACTGAACTGGCCGGTTGAATCGGGAACTGATAATTTGATCAGTTGAACGGTGGAGTAAAATCGGAGATATATTCTGTTTTCTTGACGGCATGGTTGTTAGAGTAGAACTGAAATTGAATCGGTAACTGGTAATTTGACCAGTTGAATGGTGGAATAAAATGGGGAATTGTACAAACTGTAAAAAAACAGGTAGAACCTATGGTTTCTTTGACATAATGACAACATTATCCCTAGTGTTTGAACAAATGGTGACTTTGGTCTTTGTTTATATTTTTTTAGCATTTTAATTTTAAATATTTCAATTTTGATCAAAGTATCTCTTATTCGAAGAAAAGTATTAGTTGACTAATGTTCAACGTATATTGTTAACGTGATATTTTTATATGTGTTTAATTATTAATGTAATACATATTACGTTATTATTATGAGTGATATATCACATTACGTTAGTAATTAATCACATAAAAAATATACGTTGAGACAACTTTTCTGAAAAAAAATAGACGTTAAAATGACCTTTTATACAAACGTTAGGGGTAATGTTGTCATTATACTTTTTTTAATTTAATTAATTTAAAATACTCTAGAGCATTCTTGATGGCCTTAATCTAGCTTGGAGATTTGGATATGACAAAGTCCAACCAAAGGACAGTACCGAAGCTTTCAACCTAGTCACTTCTTCGAATTTCGCCATCCCCCTGACGTTCTTCGTTGATTGGAGAATTATCCAGTCGAAACTAGTTTCCGGATTTCAAGTTGATTAAACGTGAAGCAAACTCAGCTGCTGACAGTCTAGCTAAGGTTGATGCTAACCTGAATGGAACCATATGTGTCTTTCATGATGCTTCTCTCTCTGTCCAAAGAGATTTTTATGGGCCACCCCATTTGAGATCTAACTCTATTCAATGTAATTTGGCTTTGCCTCCTTACCATAATAATAAAAGAAAAATTTATAAGTTAGTCGAGCGTGGATAAGCACAACGAGTATTACTAAATTAATTTATAAAATATTAAATTATAGAATATTAAATTATAGAATATTAAATATAATTATAAATTAGTTAAAATTTTAAATGTAATTTAATTAAAATATAATATTTATAAAACATTAGTTTTTAGGATAAATTATATCATTGATCACCTAATTATTTACCCCTTTTACTTTAACCACCAATTTTTCAATTTTATCAATTGAATCACCTAACTATTTAAATCTTGTCAATTAAGGCACATGGCTTTAAATATTAACGGAGGAGATGTGCAGTTAAAAAAATTTGTATAATTATACATTTAGTCCTCATTACTTATATTTCTATTAATTGATCCTAACTTTTAATTAACTCAATAAATTTAATCTTCAATCAGATGGTGACATGTGTCACTATATGATTAAATTTTTTTCTTAATATTTTATTTAATTTAATAAAATTTTCATCCAATCGAATGGTGCCACATGTCACCAATTGAATGGATAGAAAATAAATTAAATTTTTCATCCAATCAAATGGTATCCGTTTCACCAATTGAATGAATATAAAATAAATTGAATCAGTAATCACTGCTGGTAGGGTTTGAACCCAAGACATGAGGAGAGGAAGTAAATGCCCCAACCATTAGGCTACAACATTCAAATCACGGTAAAATATATATAGTTAATGACAATAAAAAATGGGGAAATGATCTAATAAGAACTCCAACATGTAATAATTGAATAATACAATAGTATGATATATAAATATTATAAATGATTAATATGTAAATGTACTTTATTTATATTTTAAATCATTTTAATGAAAAATAAAAATAAAATAACTTTAATATATTATAATTGAAATATAACGAAGAGCTTTGTTGACTTAGAATTTTCTTGATAGTTGAGGCTTATCATAGTAAGCATTTTAACTTATGCATTTACTTGTTTATATCCCAGTTAGAGTAAGAATTTTATATTTTATTATTTATTCATTATATATTTGAAGAAAATTTTAGTGGAAACTTGATTTTATTGAATTATTCTATTTTATTATAGAGTTGTTAAATAAGATTAGAATCCGATTGACGTTATAATATTTTAAAATATAAGATATGATACATTTCAGTTCAATAATTTTAGAATAATTAAGATAATTTATTAATTTAAAATATTTAAAATGATACATTTCAATTATAACATATTAAATTCACTTATATTTTAATTTTTTTCATTAAATGTGATTTAAAATATAAATAAAACATATTCATTTATTAATCAATTATAATATTTGTTTATTATATTTTATATTTTCATACTATTCAATTATTTCATGTTTGAGTCTTTATAAGGTCATTTATTACCCTTAACTATATTATAAATTATATAAATTATGTTATGCAAACTAAACAAATTTAATGGTATAGTTTAGTGGTTAGGGCACTTAATTTTTTCGACTTGTGTCTTAGGTTCAAACCCCACCAGCAGCGGTTGTTATGTTTTAATTTATTGTCCATTCATTCAATTGGTGACACGTTGCACCATTTGATTGGATGAAAATTTTATTAAATAAAAAAATTTAAAAATCTAATCACATAGTAACACATGTCACCATCGGATTGAGGATTAAATTTATTGAATTAAATAAAAGTTAAGATCAAATTAATAGAATGTGTAAGTAATGAGGACTAAATATGTAATTATACAAATTTTATTAATTGTCACGTCATCTCTTCTGTTAATATTTAATGGCAGATGGCTTGATTGATAAGATTTAAATAGTTAGGTTATGTGATTGACAAAATTAGGAAAATCGGTGATTAAAGTAAAAGGGGTAAATAGTTTGGTGGTCAATAATATAGTTTACCCTAAAAACTAATGTTTTATAAATATTGTAATTTAAATTAAATTACATTTAGTTTTTTAACTAATTTATAATTATATTTTTAGTACTTTATAATTTAACGTTTTATAAATGATGCTCATCATTAACGATGCTCATCATTAACAGTGCTCATCCGTGCTCGTCGAGGGTGACAACATCATCCTAATAAAAAAATTGATAGAATGACTAATTCGATTGTCAATCTGGATTTTACAATATTAATTGATTTTATTAATATTAAATTAATAGAAGATATGAAAAATAAGAACTAAATGAATAACTATATAATTTTTTTAACTGATGCATTTGTGATTTTGTTAATTGTTAACAATAGATGCTTTTATTGAAAATATTTTAATAGTTTAGTGAATTAAATGAGAAAAAACAGTTTTGATCAAATATGAGTAGATTACCCTAAATAAATATATATTGTATTGGTTCTATTCATTCACGTCTGCCGACATTGACAAAGGCTTGGAACATTGATCCTATCTTATTCCAAACATGTTCCCTTCAGACCTGAATTAAACAAAGCATAAATCCTGCCTGATCCACTGTACGGTAATGTTTATGACCACTATTATTATAAATCTCTACACTATGACAAGCTGCCCGCCGGGGTTCTTTTCGACCGAATGCTGGCCATCATGGATCACAAATTACAGTGAAAATATGACCTCCTCAACCATCTCTTTCGTCGATGTTATTCGATGAATCAAAATTCTTTCAACCCCGGATGTTTGCTCACGCTTTTGCCTGCAAAAGAGACATCTCTGTCAAAAGCATGAACTGATGTGTTGTGCTCGTCAAGTTACACCAATCACTCACCTGGGAATACAAGAAGGTTCCGAGGATAGCAATGGCAGCTCCGAGAGCATTGATAGGCTGGATGGGTGTGTGGAAGATGATGATGGAGGAGACTATGACGGATATACGTTTCAAGGTGTTGCCGATGCTGAACGTCAAGGGCGAGATCTCATCGAGGGACATGTATGAGACTTGGTTGTATAGATGGTAGAAGATACTATGGGCCGCCACCCTCCTACCAAATACGAATATAATTGACAAAAGCCGGTCGGGGAGAAAACAGAACAATGAATTACGACATAGTATTGTTGTGTTATTACCATTTGAACTGTGGTCCGATTAGATATACGGCCTCTTTTCATCCGGCCGCCCACATATGCGGTCCTTCCACGGCAATAGCGAAGGGTGTGAGAAGTATCAGTGACAACATCGACAAACATGCATAGTAATTCATCCCGCTGACGGATGTCCCCTTCATGCCCTTCTTTGAAAATATGTTACGGAAGACCGAAATCATAGCTCCCATAAAACCTGAAAATACACCGTGAATTAGGTGAAAATATATCGTGATTTTTAAGTGGAATCGAATTTTGTAAAATAAGATGGTAGCTCAACAACAGCTATGAGGGGATTGCAGTTAAGTCTTTACCGGTCATGTTGAAGTTGAGTTCGGTTAAGGCGGCGAGAGCACAACCACCGATGATTGGAAGAAGGGACAGGTAGACTGCCGGAGGGAAGGTATCGCCGAGCAAGAACTCGAAACGATGACAGTAAAAGCAGGTTCGCCGCTTTAATGATGTGAGTGAATGAAACTGCAACCTTGGACATACACAGTTGCAATGCTGCTACATGTCCAATTGTATGTGCCACAGCAACCTAGTAAAAATGAAACATAAGCAGACCAATCATTTTCTTTTCACTTTCTGACCAACCAAACAAAAGAAAGGACGTAAATATCACCGGAAACAGAGCCTTCCAGAACTCGAGATCGATTTTCGGGGCTCCCACGAAACCAACATCATCAAAGAACCGCAGGCAAGGGACAGAGTTGAAGTTAACCAAGGGAAAGGGTAAACATTCAAACCTTCTTGTTGTAGATATTGAAAACCACATTCAATGCCCACCAAGTTGCAAAAAAATCACGATTTTCACACGTTGAGCCGTTTCCGATTTCGCTTCCGACGACGACGACGACTTGTTGGCTTCATACGCTTTGCATAGGATCACCGGCCTTTCCTCCCTAAGAAAACAACTCTCGATGGATGAGATATGCAATGGCCTTGACACTGAAATGAGTGTTGTGTT